TCTCTCTCTCTCTCACTGATGCAGCATCTCATCAGGTAGGTGGAACTTGAAGCAACTATAGAAGATTATATGCCAGGAAGACTGAGTAGAAGAACTCTACAATATTTGAACAAAGAAAGAGGAAACATTGGCGCTGAATAATCTCGATCCATTTTATTTCGTTGGTTCTCATCATCAGATGCGTACAACCTGAATTTTTTAATTAAAAGTAAAAAGTGTACAATTTTAACAAACCTTTGACCATTAGCAAGCATAGTGTTACTGGTGCAGTCAAAGATTGACAAGTACCCCTCACATGTTACCTCCAACTGTGTATACCAATTCACATGTATCTGCGGGAGCAGTTACATTGGAAGAACAGAGAGGAGGGCCTACATGAGATTCTGCGAACATGTTCCAAGGAGCCTCCGCTTACAGGGACTAAATGGTTTAGGCTCTTCAATCGCCAAATACCTGATTGACACAGGACACTGAGTATATGTGCTGAAATCATTCAAAATAATTAACAGACAAAGTACCTCATGTCTTCTCAGGTTTGCTGAAGCTATAGCAATAAAACGATTGAAGCCTGACTTACGTGTCCAAAACGAATCCGTTTTTGGACTTCAATTACCCTGGTAAGTCAGTTCTTAGTAACTCTTTGTTTTCTAATTTTGTTAATTTTGCTAACTTATCTTTTCACCCCCCCCCTTTACGTTTCGCTTGACTCTCTTGAGATAATTTTTCTTGATCTTCGCAGTTCTGCTCACTGTATTACATCATCAACTTCTCATCTCACCTCATTTGAACCGTAATTTTAAAATTTTGATCTTCTCTTTTCTAATTACGTAACTATTGCTATTTGTAATTTGTTACCACCTTAACAACACAACTGTTAACTAATTTTTCAAGAAACTTCTCTCTACATATATATATATATGTCGTGACACTTTAGACACCCTGTAAATCTCAATGCCTTATTTTACTATGACGCTCTGATACTATGCTTGCTAATGGACAAAGGTTTGTTAAAATTGTACACTTTTTACTTATAATTAAAAATTCAGGTTGTACGCAGCTGATGAGAACCGACGAAATAAAATGGGTCGAGATTATTCTGCGCCAATGTTTCTTCTTTCTTTGTTCAAATTTATAAAAGGGAATCATTGTATGAAACTCTACAATACCTTACACTTGAAAAGGACACATTTTAGGTTAAGAGGAAAACATAAGGTAGAGCATTACTAACTTACTGAGGGAATCCAGGTAAACGACCCTATATTTATATTTTTTTATTGGTATATTGTTTTTAAAAGAATGCTTACTGAACAAAGAATATTCATCAGGCTCTATACTTATATCCATCCATAACACCGAATGAATAATAACATCAATGGATTACAGTTCGATAGCATCAACACAGCAGTACACACTGAATATCAGAGAAATTAGTGGTTGATTAGCTGGCTGGTTCAGACTAACTCTTATGGATTTCATTCACCGATTTTTTTTATTATTGGTCCCTAGGGTTCCTAGTGGAACATAGGGCTTCAACTGCACGCCTCAACTTGCTTCTGTCTTCTGCTGTATTTTCACTTGCATCCATGTTAATACATACTGTTTCAATTCCTCTTCACATGATTTCCTCCATGTCACCCTTGCACCGACGTCCCACTCGCCGCTTCCCTTTCGGGTTCCACTCGAGCATTGGCCTGACGCGCGATGTCACCCAGCGGCCTCCTCAGCGAGTGTCCAATCCATCTCCACTTCCTCCTGCATATTTGTTGGGCGATTGGTTCCTGTTTCGTTTGTTCCCATAGCTTCTTGTTTGTGATTCTTTCCGGCCATCTAATCTTCAGTATAGAGCGAAGACAGTTGTTGATAAAGGTATGCAACAGGCTGTTGAAAATATTCTTGGTGACCCACCAAGTTTCTGATTCGCATAGAAGAACTGACTTGACATTTGTATTGAAAATCCGAATTTTGTTGTTGATGCAGGCTGAGTGACGAAGATTTCCAGATTGGTTTCAGGTTGATGAATGTGTTTCTCGCCTTCCCGATTCTCGATTTGACATCTTCGTCCGTTCCTCCTCTAGTTGAGACAATGCTCCCTAGATAAGTGAGTGAAGGAACCTCTTTCAAATCGCTCCCGTTGATGGTGGTAGGCGCTGGATGTTGCTGCTGTTGCTCTTGTTGTTGTTGGTTGGTTATTTTCATAACCTCCGTCTTGTTTATGTTCACCTGGAGTCAGTCCTGTCTACGCTGCTTCTTTGACCAGTTTGTCGCTTTTCGCTTGTAATTCTTCGATTTTGTGTGACATCAAACATAAATCATCCACGCGCGAAATCCAGGTCTTCTAGGTTCTTCATGTCGGTCCAGGATATCCCTGTCTTCTTGTTTCCCATTGTCTGACGCATAATCCAGTCCACCACAATTAGGAATATCATTGGTGATAATAAGCACCCTTGTCTGACTCCCGTGTTTACTCCAGACGCGTCACTGAGTTTTCCGTTGTGGATCACTTGACATGTGCTGTTGTCGTACAGCTGTTGAATAAGGTTGATAAATATTTGTGGTACACCATAGTGCTTGAGTAGTTTCCAAATTACTTCGCGGTCAACGCTGTCGAAGGCCTTCTCAAAGTCTATAAAGTTGAGGTACAGATTTGATTGCCATTCTATGCTTTCTTCAATCATTGACTGATGAAGTCTTTATTTTGATTTGACCACCACAATAATTCAAAGCTGATAACCATACCACATTTACCAATCCAAAAAAAGAAACGCATACAAAAATAGCGCCGAATTCATCACACAACTACATTTTTTTTATACAACAAAATAACTAACCTACCTGGTTTCCATTTTCTTTTCAAAGCTGCATCAAATATCCGACGAAGAAAAATAAATTCTAAAATTCCATCAACATCATGATAAGTGACATAGATGGTTGTAGGCTGCTGCTGCTGTTGTTCTTTACAGTTGTAAGAATAATATCCATCACTGGAGCCAGTATTATTATTATTACTATTATTATTATTATAATACTTTAAATTCTTATAAGGTTGCTCTTGTTCAATTTCCAGGTGTAAAGTGATCAGTCGAACAAAACTATCCCCACTGTCATAGGATGATGAAGTTGGCAAAGGTGAGTGTGTACGTGTATTAGTGAAACTGGTCGATGCGACTACTGGACATTCACTATTTTTCATTGATGCTGAAGAATTCGCTGATGAGGATGATGATGATGACGATGACGTCGAGGAGGCGGAGGAGCACAATGGAAATTTCTGGTCTTCATCATGGCAGGTGGAATTTAAATCCTTTAGATTAACTAATTGTTGTGATTGTCGAAGACACTTTGTAGTATAGGAATGTTTTCTTGTCTTCTTGTAACGTACATTTGAACGTGATGAATGCGACTGACTACCAGCAATACGTACAATATGGTAAGTGATTTTGACGACAGTACAACATAAGAATTGCTACAAAATAAAACAGGGGAACATAAGAGTATAAGTATGTATATGTAAGTATGCGCATACATTGATTCCCCTTTACGAATTTGAACAAAAAGCAAGAACAGCAACAGTTTGTGTAGAAGAAGACAGAACCATTATGGTTTATTTCGTTAACTTATCATCTGTCTGTCTGTCTACTTTCAACATAGAACTTCGCACATATGTGCGCCAGTTCAAGTCGCCACATTCCCTCTTTGTAGCACACAAAGAAAGAGAAGAAAGTAGGAGAAATGCATAATATAGACAGTAAACATAGGTGTGAGACAAAGGAATAGTAATAACGAAGAACCAAAACAGTTTCATTGAAAATCATAAGTCACAAGGAGTGGATGCATCTGCCTGCGCCATTGAGAGCGATTTTGAGCCATATCACCGAATGTCTCCAGCCTTCATTGGTGTTTACCGTCCCGAACATCCCAACCAGCCAGGAGTCTACATCTTCCTACATGCCTTAAACTGACTGTTGCAGATTTCGTTTGACCGCCGCTAGCTCTTTTCCAGCCTGGCCCTATATCAGCTAACATTGCCCACTGTCGAGGAAGGCGATGACTAGGCATACGTAACACATGTCCTAACCATCTCAGTCGATGTAATCTCACAGTTTCGTCGACTGATTTCCCCTCCTTACCAACTAGCACTCGACCGATGCCCAACCTCAGTAGTGCTCACCCTATTATACCACGCCACCTAATACGGGAGATAGAACGCAGACACCTATGATCAAAGACAGATAATCTTTTCATGTCTTCTGCTCTCAATGGCCAGGTCTCACAGCCATAAAGGAGGGCGGAGCAGACTGATGAGCAGTACACACGCCATTTGGTCAATAGTCAGATATCACATCTACACCAGAGACGGTGTAAACTGGCATATCCGAAACTAGCCCTCTGTATCTGTACTGAGATTTCGTCAGAGATCAACCCGTTGGGGCTAATGGTACTTTCCAAGTAAGTGAAGCGGTCAACGGGCTCTACCACTTCACTTCCTATTTTTAATCTAGGGGTCGGTGTAGTACAGTCCTGCAACATCATCTTACATTTTACAGGGGCGAACCGCATGCCAAACATACGTAGATTACTGTAATTTCATGTACAGAACAATCGTCTAACATACCTGCAAACTTTTACGTGACCTCTCAGTTAGCGACAGGAGGCTAAAAAGCTCCATAAACAGTGACAGGATCTTATAATAAGCTGACATCGATTAAAAATCCATTAGGAAGCCAACTAGGGAGTACTGGACATCCAGTTGTTCCTATCATCCTAGTCGGAGACTCTTCAGCAGTACTCACCCACAGCCACGCCACGGGTCGAACCCAGGACCTTCCAATTACAAGGTGAACTGGTAGACCATTAAGTCAGAAACTGGGAACTGATCCAATGGCCAGCTCATGGATTCCAACTTCTGCCAGTTACCGATACAGCTGACGAGTATTTGTCCTCATACCAGACGTGCTTAATGGTCTACGAGCTCACTCTGTAACCGGAAGGTCCTGTGTACTGCCGAAAAGTCATAAACCAGGAGGACGAAAGAGTTGGCTGTCCAGTACTCCCAGGTTTTCCAATGGTTCTCTGGTCGATGTCAGCTCATAATTGAATCCTTACAGACTAACGCTTGAACATAAATAAAGTGTCCGGAAAATTACACTTATATAGCTTTTGCCTAAGAGGTTTCAAGTTTACACAAAAACTAAATGCTCAGATATAATGGTAAAGGAGTTAAAGACAACAGGTGAGTAAAGATGATGAGTGTAACTAATAAATTGAGTAACAATGTGGTCAGGTAAACTCAAATCAAAGAAACAAGATCATAGCAAATTTACACTACATCAAAGGGTTGAGGTGAGGTTAAAGCCAAAGAACTGTTTTATTCATTGATAATTTTAAAGGGTTTGGCGATGTCCACCTCATGACCCGTAATCAAGGAGATGCCTAGCAATGGCATTATTAAAAACGCTTGGTTCCCTTGAAACGAAGGCTTTTCGATACATGTTCAAAAAGTCGGAGATGTAGCCTACTTTTTGTTCTCTGAATGTAGCTGCTCCTTCATATACATGTAAATCTGTATACACAGTTACAGTCAACATGAGAAGGGTATCTATCGACTTCTAAATGTACCAAAGAGCGCGTTGTCCGATAAACGGAAACCAACTTAGCTTCAGGATAGGCTCTAGTTAATGGGGTTTCCACTCTTCTGTTAACTATTCTTGCAGTACTGTCACTTTTAAAGTCAAGTTGAATGAAGATAGACGCCTTTTTCACAGTGTTTCTTTGACATTTGACCCGTCACTTCTTCAGTAGTTGTTAATGAATCACTGGGTGGAACCGCTGTTTTTCAACATTTCGAAAATCACAAATTCATTTTCTAATTTTTGTGTTGAGCATAGTCTCCTGAATCCATAGTACAGAGTTTGGAGGAGTGCTCGTTTGTGGCTATTTGAACAAAAACTATTTAAAGTGTAAGTATTGTCCATTCCAAATAGGCTTTCAGTAAATTAACCTCTGAAGACTATCATCTTCCAGGCTTTGCAGGGCAATGTCAAGTAAGTGGTTTCCATCTTCTCTGCAAGCCAACGAGCAACTATGTGTTGAGGTGAGTTGATCATACAAAGTAGACGTCTCAGGGGTGGTGGACTAACTGACTGCTGTCATAAAAAGGCTTGCTAGCTTTCTTTCACCATAGGTGTCCAAATCCAATCTCCCATGTTAGGTGGTATGATAGGATGTCTAACATTGAGGTTGCGCGTCGAGTATTAGGTAAGGAGGGGAAATCAATTTACAAGACAATCAACTGATGTAGCTTCCCAACTTTATCAATTGACTTTCCATCTTCACCTAACAATCGATGCCTAACCTCAATATTACTAACCATATTATACCACATGACACAAGGAACACAATGCTGACAGATATGGTCATAGATAGTTTGTTTCTTCACACCTTTCACTTCCAATAGCCATGTCTCTGAGTCATAATGGAGGACAAAGCCATTTGATCGATAGTAGCATATCACGTCTACACCAGAGACGATACAAGTTAGCGAATGCTGCACAAGCCATTCATATCCGTGATGAGATTTCGTTAACAATCAGTCTTTCAAGGTTTAGGCAACTTCCCAAGAAAGTGAAGCGGCCAAGATGCTCTACCACTTCACTCCCTATCATGAAACTAGGAATCAGTGTAGTCCAATCCTGTAGCATCGCCCTATATCTGACAAGAGGACTACATTACCCTCATATCCTAAGTCAACAAGACTATTCCCAGGTTACAAGTCAATCCCTAAGTCGTTGAAGTCGTTTGGGGTCAACTCCATTAGTACATCTATGATGATAGTAAACAGAAATGGCGATAATAGGCACCCCTGACGGACACCACTGGTTGTCACCACACCAGATGAGAGCTTTCCGTAAGCTCTACAACTGCTGGATGACTTCGAGTAGAATGCTTTGATTGGTGTGTTGTATTTCCTCAGCACCTTCTTCATGGCAAGACATTACCACAGCACCCCTCGACAAAGTCGAATGTCACCTTCGGATATAGAAATATGGCGTGTTGGAAGACAGTTTTCTTCATTTGTGTCCGTACGAAGATCTAACCCCTGGTTGCGACCCACCGCTACGTAAGTCACGATATAGAACTGTTGACTTGGACTTCGATGTTTTGGCCATTCGAGGGAAACACCTTAGATCCCTAATCTCTGGCAATATGACTTCGCTTTCAACCTCCCCTAACGTAGTGTGACCGATTAACACTGTGGTGGTAACGAGGCAAGGTAGGACCAGGAGGACCATATGCTGCAACCAGTGTAGTTAAATGGATCTTTGCGACAACCAAGCCAGGACACCTCTTCAAGGTTTTAGCTCTTTGTCAGAGAGTAGTTGTAAACTCTTCACATCAACTAGTAGCGCTTTTTAGCCACATCGAAGTGATCCAAACACCGGACGACCACTTTACTCACTCAGGGCCGAGGTCATCAGCAGCATACTCAGGGCGACTCAGTCCAGACACTCGAATCCCGACTTCCTACTTGGGCAAAGTGGCTATACATGGAATCATTGATTCTAAGGTTTACGTCTAACTATAACACCTAAATATAATATTGTTCATAATAAACCAGAAAATGTAACAACAACAATACTACATTAAAATAAATGAACATATTTGACTGTCTTTATCCCTATACTACTCTTGAGCAACTAGTATCTTTAGCACAATTTTCTCATTTACTTTTGACTGTCAGTATGCCTTCAACTTAAAATTGGGGGAGGGGGGAGATGTGATGTAATGACCGCACACACACACATCCATAGACACAACAATCTTTCCTGATTACCATGTACCTTTACTTTCTTACTTTCCCATCACTGTCATTATTACTATACAGGTAAGTTCTCCACGTCCTAACTTTCAGCTGGAAAACACGACTGATAGTCTCTTAAAACCTATTGATCTTATGCAAAATCGGATAACTGGTCACACTATTCAAAACTCTTACATCTTTCAAACGATGGATGCAAGTTGTATTTCTGAGAGCCACATTATCGCTACTTGACATCACCTGACCGACATAGGGAATGTGCTTACATTGTACCGGTGTTAGATATATCGGCTAGTTCGTATTATTTTGAAGGTGCAACGCAATGCACAATGTACATCGGTGGCACAGTGGTAGAATGTTCGCCAATCACTCAGGGGCTTTGGGTTTCGATACCCGGTCGATGGACTCCTTTACCTCGCTTAGGCAGTAATAAGACTGGTAAAAGGGGAAGGTTGGGCATGAGGCTAGCAATCCCATCCCGTAAAATTAAACACCACTGCTACCGAAACTTCAAGCCTCTAGTTTGAAGCCCAATGTTCTACTGGGAATGTAAAGGAATAAAAAAGAGTGCAATGCATAGATGTAGCTCATTGGCTTAATCAATAAGCTTTCAGCTAGTGATTCCCAAGTTTAAGTGATGCTCCACCCCTAACTTCAGCCTGGACGACTGCGTAGTATTTCTTTAGCACTCGCAAAATAGGTGGGGTTCATAGGCCAGTATTCGCACAATGTTAGAATTCATTTGATTGAATGTAATAGGGCTTTATTCCGATCAACCCTTTTGCATCATTGTGCATCGGTAACACAGCGGTTAGGACTCTCGCTGACCATGCACATGGTCCGCGGTTCGATACTCTGCCGAGGCACACATGATATCTATGGTCGGCCTGCCAAATTCGGACTACCGATAACACATGCTGAGAAATCGATACTTGTACCAAGAAAACAGTGTGGAATCAAGTTATAATCAAAAATAAATCATTATTATCCAGGATAGGAACAGATATCGTAACAACAGAGGACAAGGACCAGGCAACAGATCCTTTATTAAGGAAATCAAAGTATATTTATATATTTTCATGTACATTATTACAGATTATTGTAAGCAAACAAACACAGTCTTCTGATTGGTGGTTTTTCGCTGAACGTTAATCTTTCATCTGTTTGTGGCTGTTTATTGAAGTTCAGATTATCTATCTGCAAATTGTATCCGCCTACGCAAAGTCTGCTGTGATTGGTTGTTGAATCAGTTTTTTTTTATATTTTCTCACGACCAATATTGGGGACGTAAATTACTGTCTACTAGCCAAATTGGTAGACAGTAATTTACGTCAATGTTTACGTTCTCAAGATTTGTCGTGAGAAAATATGAACAAAGACTGATTCAACAACCAATCACAGCAGACTTTGCGTAGGCGGATACAATTTGCAGATAGATAATCTGAACTTCAATTAACAGCCACAAACAGATGAAAGATTAGCGTTCAGCGAAAAACCACCAATCAGAAGACTGTGTTTGTTTGCTTACAATAATCTGTAATAATGTACATGAAAATATATAAATATACTTTGATTTCCTTAATAAAGGATCTGTTGCCTGGCCCTTGTCTTCTGTTGTTACAATATGACCGTAATTAATGAGTGGGAGAGGAAACCGTTGTGAAAAAGTCAATGAAATCAAGAGTTGTCTTTACGACTAACAATAAAATTGACTGTTAACTGTCTGCATCATATGTCTTATTTAGTGGCAAATTAATCAGTGCACAAGTTTAACCAATTGTTACCTAATGTATACACAAAGGACGTAGACACTAATAATCGAGGAATTCATCACCACACATATATACATAAATTCACTTCATATGCAAGGAAAACTTCAAACTTACAGGTATACCAGGCCAAACTATCCAAGGTGACTGTTGTTGTGGCGATGACCTATTATTTCCCTCTTTGCCTCCTAAGCCTTCCATCAACGGTAGACTTCCACATTCCCAGGCTTTAGATAAATAATCTTGATGACCACGATATAGGTAGACAACACGATCACCCGCTTGTGGTAGATACGGTGAAGCAGCAGGCGCCAACGTTGATAACCAATCGAAGTAAGGACCACGCCAACGAATGATATTTGTATACGGTAGAATAAAATTGTTTTCACTGACTCCTTCTTCTTCGCCTTCACAGTTAGGAGAGATGTAACAGTCTAATGGAATTCTAGATAACGGTAGTCGACTACCTGTCTGTAAAAAAGAAAATATATATTCATACAACTTTATAAGAATATTGATATTTATTTATTTAAACGCAGAAAAAACTTTGGTACAATATGGCACCAGGAAAGATGCGCCACACAATAATAATGAAGCAACATAGATTAAAAGTAAAAATATAGGTAGAGAACGGATAAAGAACTTCATCTGGAAGGAAAACAGTCACACTTAACAAGTTCAAACAGTATTCGTTAACTATCATCAGGAAGAGAAGAAAGAAGGAAATTGCAACACGTTCGCCATTGATGACTGCGATTCTTGGCCATATCCGATAACGTTTCGAGCCATCGACTCGAGCTATCTCGCGGACCCCAACCAGGGAGTCGTGACGCACCAACTGATGCTAACCTAGCACAAATATCCTTCATCCCACGACGCCACGTCATGGACTGACCACCCCTCCGCCTTTTCTATCCTGTCCCAGGGCTAGTGAACAGAGACCTGTACGGAAGCCTCTGGGATGACATTCGCAGCAAATGTCCAAGCCACCGGAGCTGGTGTTTCCAGATGACGACACTCAATGAATGGTGATCTCCACTGTGTTCAAACACACGCCGCCGAACCTCAGAATTACTCACACGATGATCCCATCGAACGCAAGCAATCCTGCCGAGACAGCAATGATCAAACACGCAGAGTCATCGCACATCCTCAGCTCGGATAGGTCAGAATATTGATATGAACAACAAATGAACATATGAACACCAATGAGCCAGTAGTCAGACATTAAACTTTCTTTAAAAACGGCAGCACACTGTCACGCAGTGGCTTCTGGTAGTTTCACAGCGTTTAGTAGGACTGGCAGAGATATATACACTGCTTTGTATAAAACTCTGGTGAGGTCAAGACTGGAAAACCGAATTCAGACAGCCAGTCCTTGTCTTAAGAGAGACTCTTACATTCTAGAAAGGTCCAGAGGAAAGCAACACGTAGGATTCTTGGCATGACTAATTTATTATACGTTGGATGACTAAACAGTTTGAATCTTTTTCCCTTATCATGCAGCACGTTGGCAGAGAGGAGATCTCATTACAATGTTTTAAAAAACTCTATATAATATGACTACGAAGACCTGATGTTTTTTTCTCTTTTCACCTTCCTGCTAGGCCGGAACACCTCAGGGAACATAGCAGGAGAGTTCGAAAGCTAAGGAGGAACTATATCTTCGAGTCATACACTCCTGGAACCGACTCTCAGAAGAATTGGTGGTAGCGCCCTTAATTCATTTATTCAAAAAGGGTTTGGAAAAGAACAGAAATTTATTACAAAAGGAATAACATAGGTTTCCAGCCTTTTATCTTCAACCAACGAATCTGAATCTGTATATTCTTCGTCTGAGCGAACGACCCAAAGATTTAGCGTAGTCAATCCCAATGCCCCATAAAAGTGTTAGATGACACAAGAGTTCCCTGTTTCATAAATGATATCCGATTTTACATTTCTTAAAATTTTTGATCATAGCTCGACTCAACATAGTATTTTTGGTGCAAGTATGGAATTTTCAGCATGTGATATCGGTAGCCCAAATTTCGCAGGCCAACCAATGATATCAGGTGTGAGTCGGCGGAGGATCGAATCCCGGACCATGTGCAGGATCGGCGAGAGTCCCAACCGCTGTGCCAGCGACGCACATGTGATTAGTGAGTGACAGTTAAGTTAAACCACTCTGACTCATAAAACTCTTTCACTACTTTAGGTGTAGTATCAGAAAATCTATCCTATCATCAAAGCAGTGAGAAGAAATTCTTACAAAATGATTCACATAGTCTAATATAATTGAAGTGCAACAGGTTAACCAAAAAACATTTAACCTCTTAAGCAAAACCAATCAAACAGGGCCATGAGTATCCATTTGCGGGATGGGAGAGGGAAGTTCAAAGGTAGAATACTCACTAAGAAAACACGAGGTCGAGTTCAATCCTCAGCCGATACACTTTTTAACCTCGCCTAGCCAATCGTAAGCCCGTTGTTGAAGAGGGAAGGTCAGCTTGATGAAACTTTTAAGATCAAGCCTGAAGCCCTATATCACAGTGGGAACGCTAAGGAATGATTTCAAATAACAATAAATAATATCTACTTAGAATATACATCGCTTTACAGCCAAACAATATCAGGTTGTTGATTAACTAAAAAAAAGTGCCAAGATGTTCTTTACTTCCTGGAAATCATCAGCAGCCCTAAAGGAACAGACCTATAGCACTCAGCCCCCCACCACTAAACCATTCTCACATCATAAGAAACTTCCGATTAACTTGTAAAACTTAATTTTTGAAATAATTTAAAGTACATCATCGGAAGCTTATTAGCTCGACCAGTGGATTCTGTAGCGGAATATTACTCTAACTATTTCAAACAAGGAGAAGTCGGGTAATGCAGTCATCTTTTCATCACAAAATGAGTGTGATTTCATAGTCAGCTACAATAAACAGCTAGCTTAAAGGTTACTCCAATTTGAGCAATTTTTTCTACTACTGCTACTACTTATACTATTTATAACTCCTTAGAAGTTCTGTTTGCCACCACGTAAAGAAAAAACTTATCCATTGATATAAGAATAGAAAACTTAGGCACTGTGGCGGAGTATAAACTCCATCATAGAGGAATCTTATTGTATTATACAGTAATATCTACTGATGATGACGTCTTGAGCACGATTTATCGCTGCTCATAAACATATCAGGTCACTACTTACACAATTTTCTGTCTTTTTGCCATTTGATTGGCAGTAATATTTTCCATACCTCTGGTATTAGTGATTCCTATTGCATGTGTTGGGTGTAGATTTGATAGACAAAGATCCAGCAACTCTCATTCCATCTACCAATCTATTTTTTTAATTCCTTCACGTTCCCAGTGGAACATAGGGTGCCTTCAAGCTAGAGGCTTGAAGTTTCTGTAGCAGTGTCTATTTTTACAGGATGGCGTTGCTAGTCTCATGCCCAACCTTCCCTTTTTGCCAGTTCTATTACTGACTTAGAGAGGTAAAGAAGTGCGTCAGCCGGGGATCGAACCCTGGACCACCTGTGGGGTTGGCGAGCACTCTACCGCTGTGCCATCGATGCGCGCCTATAATACTTTTTTGAATTGTAACTCTTTTCCATTCGATTCTGTGTTTGTGTGTTAATGCATGCACTGCAATAGCTGAGTTTTTTTTCACTAAATTAGTTATCTTCGTGGGGTCTGTCATTCAAACCTTAGCTAAATTCTTATGTTCTGACAATTTGAATATCCCCGATCTACTGGTTTCACCTCCCAATCATTGCAAAACATTTTATGAATTACATCATTTTGTTTAATTGGGTTAACAGGATCCTTTAACTCACAAACACACACCCAATATATACGCAAAAGCACTCTAATATGTCTTTCCAACTGCAGGCAGTTTTCGCGCGGATGAAGATGTCAAAACCAGAACCAGAATAAGTAGAAAAAACAAAAAAATGGATTTTCAACACCGATATTAAGTCAGTCAGTCCTTCTATGTGGGTCAGAAAATTTTCTTTCAAGTCACGAAAAGCATTTCTAATAGGTTACAGACTTTTATGAATAGCTGCCACCTTTGATGGCTCCCTATTAAAGATCAAATGGTTGGCCAGAAAGAATCGACAATAAGAAACTATGAGAACAAACTAATCAAGGACCTATTGCTCAACAGATACACCGAATGTGGAGATGAACTGGGCACACACTGAGAAAGCCGTCAAATGTCACTGCGCGCTAGCCAGGACATCGCTAGAGTGGAACCCGAATGAGAAACGACAAGTTGGGTGTAGTGACAGGAGATGTGAGATTACAGGCAATCGTGAGACAAGCTAAAGAGGAACACAGAGAATAGGATAAAGTGGAGATGTGTTGTTGACGCCCTACGTGTTCCACTTGGAACCCTAGGGAACAATAACAATAATACTGTCCTGTACTTCAACAGCTTTGAATCCCACACTTGCTTATTCATTATTGTGGAACTGATCGGTTGCAACGTAGTTTACCCAGTTCCGGGCTGTATATATCACACAATTATTACATGAAGATTGACGACACTCTGCCTGGTTGTTTTGAGACTTCAATCTGCCTGTCTGTCTGTTTTCGACATAGAACTTCGCACATATGTGTGGCAGTTCAGGTCGCTACACTCCCTCTTTGTAGCACACAAAGCAAGAGAAGAAAGTAGAAGAAATCCATAATATAGTCAGTAAACAGAGGTGTGAGACAAAGGAATAGTAATAATGAAGAACAAAACAGTTTCATTAGAAATCATGAGTCACAAGGAGTGGATGCATCTGCGCCACTGAGAACAATTTTGAGCCATGTCACCAATTATTTCCAACCATTGGTTTTCACCGTCCGAGGACCCCAACCAGTCAGGAAGTCTACACCTTCCTACGTGGCTTAGACTGACTGTTGTGGATTTCATTGATTGGTGCCATGTTTTCGTTTGACCGCCGCTAGCTCTTTTCCAGCCTGACCCTATATCAGCTAACATTGACTGTCGAGGAAGGCGATGACTAGGCATACGCAACACATGTCCTAACTATCTCAGCCGAAGTAATTTCACAGCCCCGTCTATTGATTTCCCCTCCTTACCTAGCACTCGATCGATGCCCAACCTCAATATTGCTCATCTTATCATACCACTTCACGCGGGAGATAGAACGCCAACACCTATGATCAAAGACAGCTAATCTTTTCATGTCATCCGCAATTAATGGCCAAGTCTCACTGGCAGCCGTAAAGGAGGACGGAGCGGATTGCTGAGCAGTACACACGCCCTTTGGTCGATAGTCGGATATAACGTCTACTAAGCCAGAGACGGCGTAAACTGGCATATGCGAAACTAGCCCTCTGTATTCGTGTTGAGATTTCGTCAGAGATCAACCCGAGGGAGTTTCGAACCTACAACCCAATTTCGCTGGTTGTCGTACACAGTGTGATTAAGCCAATAAGTCACACACCCCCCCAACACACAGACCTTC